CACCATGCTACTGTGGGATTGCACCATGCTACTGTGGGATTGCACCATGCAACTGTGGGATTGCACCATGCAACTGTGGGATTGCACCATGCAACTGTGGGATTGCACCATGCTACTGTGGGATTGCACCATGCTACTGTGGGATTGTACCATGCTACTGTGGGATTGCGCCATGTTACTGTGGGATTGTACCATGCTACTGTGGGATTGCACCATGCAACTGTGGGATTGCACCATGCTACTGTGGGATTGTGCCATGCAACTGTGGGATTGCGCCATGCTACTGTGGGATTGCGCCATGCTACTGTGGGATTGCGCCATGCTACTGTGGGATTGCGCCATGCTACTGTGGGATTGCGCCATGCTACTGTGGGATTGCGCCATGCTACTGTGGGATTGCGCAATGCAACTGTGGGATTGCACCATGCAACTGTGGGATTGCACCATGCTACTGTGGGATTGCACCATGCAACTGTGGGAATGCACCATGCTACTGTGGGATTGCACGATGCAACTGTGGATTGTGCCATGAAACTGTGGGATTGAAATATGCAACTGTGGGATTGCGCCATGCAACTGTGGGATTGCGCCATGCTACTGTGGGATTGCACCATGCAACTGTGGGATTGTACCATGCTACTGTGGGATTGTACCATGCTACTGTGGGATTGTACCATGCAACTGTGGGACCATGCAACTGTGGGATTGCACCATGCAACTGTGGGATTGCGCCATGGTACTGTGGGATTGCACCATGCAACTGTGGGATTGCGCCATGGTACTGTGGGATTGCGCCATGCTACTGTGGGATTGCGCCATGCTACTGTGGGATTGCGCCATGCAACTGTGGGATTGCACCATGCAACTGTGGGATTGCACCATGCTACTGTGGGATTGTACCATGCTACTGTGGGATTGCACCATGCAACTGTGGGAATGCACCATGCCACTCTGGGATTGCACCATGCAACTGTGGGATTGTACCATGCTACTGTGGGATTGCACCATGCAACTGTGGGATTGTACCATGCTACTGTGGGATTGTACCATGCTACTGTGGGATTGTACCATGCTACTGTGGGATTGTACCATGCTACTGTGGGATTGCACCATGCAACTGTGGGATTGCACCATGCTACTGTGGGATTGCACCATGCTACTGTGGGATTGCACCATGCTACTGTGGGATTGCGCCATGCAACTGTGGGATTGCGCCATGCAACTGTGGGATTGCGCCATGCTACTGTGGGATTGCGCCATGCTACTGTGGGATTGCGCCATACTACTGTGGGATTGCGCCACGCAACTGTGGGATTGCGCCACGCAACTGTGGGATTGCGCCATGCAACTGTGGGATTGCGCCATGCAACTGTGGGATTGCGCCATGCAACTGTGGGATTGCGCCATGCTACTGTGGGATTGCGCCATGCAACTGTGGGATTGCGCCATGCAACTGTGGGATTGCACCATGCAACTGTGGGATTGCACCATGCTACTGTGGGATTGCACCATGCAACTGTGGGAATGCACCATGCTACTGTGGGATTGCACCATGCAACTGTGGGATTGCACCATGCTACTGTGGGATTGTACCATGAAACTGGGATTGAAATATGCAACTGTGGGATTGCGCCATGCAACTGTGGGATTGCGCCATGCTACTGTGGGATTGTACCATGCTACTGTGGGATTGTACCATGCAACTGTGGGACCATGCAACTGTGGGATTGCACCATGCAACTGTGGGATTGCGCCATGCTACTGTGGGATTGCACCATGCAACTGTGGGATTGCGCCATGCTACTGTGGGATTGCGCCATGCTACTGTGAGATTGCGCCATGCTACTGTGGGATTGCGCCATGCAACTGTGGGATTGCACCATGCAACTGTGGGATTGCACCATGCAACTGTGGGATTGCACCATGCTACTATGGGATTGCACCATGCTACTATGGGATTGCACCATGCAACTGTGGAATTGCACGATGCAACTGTGGATTGCGTCATGAAACTGTGGGATTGAACAATGCTACTGTGGTATTTACCATGAAATTGTGGGATTGCACGATGCAACTTTGGATTGCGCCATGAAACTGGGATTGCACCATGGAACTGTGGGATTGAAATATGCGACTGTGGGATTGCAATATGCATTTGTGGGATTGCATTTTAGGGAATATCTGGTGTTTTGTATTTTGCTCAGTTAAAATATAGTATTAAAATAGTCAAACAAAAAAAAGTGGGTATTTCTACATGATAAAAAACAAATTAATGAGAGTTCAGCGACTAAATGAATAAATTTACCGTACTAATGTTGTAGTTGTTGGCATTGATTTTCAGTTGGAAAATGGCACAATTTGTTTTTAATCAGGAAATTACTGTAGTAACATTTGAAGGATAAACTGAGCATTAAAATGTTATTTAACACTTTTAAGGTGATCTTCATTTAGGCACCAGGAGAGATTAAAATGTTTGCAAAATAGCGATTAATTAAGTATGTGACCCGGTAATCATTTAGTGCAAATACTTAAAGAAATTGTTGTGGTTTTTTTTTTATCATTGTTGAATACTGTAAGAACATGATACTGTGGTGAAAAGTTGAGTGTTCAATAAATGAAACATTCGTTTGTTTTTATTCAGACATATGCCAAGGTGGATACAGTAATAGAAAGAGCAATAATCAATTATCGAGAAGATCTGGATTTGAGGAATTTAATTGATTTTATACAGATGGAGGTAAGATATTAAAGAGTCGAGACTAACAACATAATACTCTCGGATGAAAGAGCTCTGCAAATGTAAGGACATGCAATGTACAGTTTATTTATATCACTTTTCATTCTCTAGATCAACTTTTCACCAGTATTATGTAGTCTATCATCTTGGTTCTTCAGCAAAGGATTATGGGTAAAGTATGACATCATACCCACTGTTGACAGAATTGAGAAAATGATTTCATCTATAACTTCAAAAGCTGAACTTCAAATTAGCTGAAAGTTTAGAACATGGTAGCATACATGTATCGGTCCCAAACATGCATATAAAATAGTTGTTATGGCAACATTAGTGAAAATATTCATTTTTGTGTTTTTCTACCAAATGCTCAAATTTCCTTATATTGTATACAATTTATTGATGCGAGTAGGTTATATAGGTGACATATAACCTGTTGACCCCGAAAAGGAGACTAAAAAGTGTCATTCTATATTTAACGACTAAAATAATGATTTGTATTTTTTTTATATTTACTTTATGTGTATTTGTAACATTCTAATTTCCATTACTATAATGATATACATGATTCATAGGCACACCAAAAATTTGAACAAATTAGCAGCAGTATTTCCCACATTATGGATAAAAGCATTTTCTCAATTTTTCACAACAGTGGATATGATGTCGTACTTTACCCACAATCCTTTGCTGGAGAATCAAGATGGCAGACTACATACCGTATTACCCTGGGCACGCGCCCCTCCCTGGGCAAGCGCCCACCCCCCTGGGTAAGTGCCCACCCCCCTGGGTTACATGTTGGGGACATCCTCAGTTAAACGCCCAGGGTGATTTTTAGCCAAGAACGGGGTCAACAATAAAGTTTTATTTGTCAAAAACGAACGCGTTTGATATATTTAAATAGTGTGTTTGTTACGGTAGTTCGCTTTTTAGAGTGTGTGGTGGCCCTGAAAAAGGCAGTTTTATTTGTGTTTTTACGTAAAATTTCATTGGAACTTTACGACGTAAGATGAACCACGCAGCATGTGGCGCATACGTTCTGCTTTTTCTTCATTCGTGATGAATCCAATATTGCAATAATCCATACCTTGGTGAGTGCTTTGAAGCACTTAGCTTTGGTTTCAAAACGTAGCACTTCGCTGACTGTGAATCCATAATGGGAGCACAGTCAGCTGGCATCGGTGTTGCTGGGTGTATATGATAAAGGGAAGTTGTGCAACCAAATTTGCCGAGTTCGCAGTTTTTCGCCGATAAAAAAATAACTAAGGCAAAAACTCGCAGTTTTTCAGC